AAAGGATTGCTTCCACAAACAACAATGATTCTACTGAATTAGACTTCCACGTCACCACCTGAACCAACTGTCTTAGGGCAGGTGTATCTCAGGGCTATTCCACTGGCCCATCACTGATCTCAATTACTCGATGTAAACTGAGCGAGTACACTCTAGGCCCACAGCTCAGAGGATTCCCTTGAGAAGCAGTACTTCCATGGACACCAACACAGCAACCAAAAAAGAACAACCAGGGCCCCTTGTTCCAACCATCAAGCCAGAGCAGCTGCTGGCAGAAATACTGAGTGGTTAGAGGAAATCAGAGGTAGCAACTACCATCTTAAGGTGCAATGCAGAAACAATATTTTCTGTTTACAGAATATATAAGAGTACTTAAAAAATCTGTAGAAAAATGGCACTGAAAGATTTTGGTGCAAATAATTATCTGAAATCTTATTAGTTTTTTTTTTTCTTTAATTTACTTTTATTGGAAAAGCAGATTTACAGAGAGGAGAAACAGATCTTCCACCCTTTGCTCCAAATAGCCACAACAGCTGGAGCTGAGCCAATCCAAAGCCAGGAGCCTCTTCCAGGTCTCCCATATGGGTGCAGGGGCCCAAGGCTTTGGGCTATCCTCAACTGCTTTCCCGGTCATAAGCATGGAGTCTGACAGGAATGGAGCAGCTGGGACACAAACCAGCACCCATATGAGATCTCAGAACTTGCAAGATAAGGATTTAGTCATTGAGCCAATTTGCATTTTACATGAACTTTTTTAAGACACCCACATACGCATTGAGCTCAAAAAAGTTCTGTAATATAAATTTCATTTAGTTCCCTACTGCATCAGGTTTTGAAGTCTCCTCATTATATTTGTATATGTTAACCATTTTTCTCCTTTCTATTTACTCTCATTTATGTCACATACAGCATGTAGAAGGTGAATATTCTAAGGTAGTCTTAGAGACACAATGGTAAAATGTATAGTTACTATGGCCAACAGTAACTATTCAGGTTGCACAGCTCCTTATTTTCAAGTGAGGCATCACTGGATGGTAAGTAGCCATGAAAACAGAAAAATGCCGGTTACATGATAGGAAATGCTAACATGCTGTCAGTAGAGGGTGCTAGAGGAACACTGCACAGAAAACTGAAGCTGATGGTGGGGGCGGCATGGCGGGGAGGAGGTCTTCAATCTGGTCCACATCCAACAAGCCATTTGCATCCTACCAGGCGGTAATCCTGTGCTTGCCAGTTCTAGTCAGCGCATGCATTACTCCACTCATGAACAGACTGCAACCAACACTTCCTCCAACTAAATCTGAACTGTAGCTTGGGAGAGGACTTCTTTCCTAAATAGGGTATCCTACGTTTTCATTTGCAGAAAATCATTTCTTCAAATTTAATAGTATTGGAATTAAACTGACCCTATTCAAATTACTACGTGGGTTCTGTTAACTAACATAGTAGTAAGTATCAAAGTTTGCTATGTTTTTATAATCTAAAATACTACTACTATGCTTCTTCTATACAAGGCAGCAATTGCATTTTGCTTGTATGAAGCTACATTATGTTACCAGAAGACAGAAATAAAATATTTACTAATCTGAACAATCACCTCACAAAAATTATTGCAAATATCTTTTTTTTAAAAGGCAGAGTTAGAGAGAGAAAAGGAGAGGCATAGAGAAAGATCTTCCTTCCGCTGATTCACTCCAACAGCAACACCAGCTGGGCCAGTTAGAAGTCAACAACCAGGAGCTTCCTCCAGGCACAGCAAGTGACGGCTTCACATGCTATGCCAGCAAGTTGGCTCAAATAAACACATCTTTTAAGGGAAAAAAAGGAAAACTACATGATCATTCTTCCAATTTTGTGTCTTTCTCTTCTTATACTGAATGATTTTCATAATAACCTTCAATAGCCATTCACTGTTCTAGGACATTTATATAGATTAATTTGTTTCTCTGAAGAAGACTATAAAACAGATTCTTGTATTAGTCTACTTTTACAAATGAGATAACTGAGGCACACAAAGATTACTTAACCTGGCCAAGAAATGGTAGACATGGATGCATGCCACCTAGATCTGGAGTGTGAACACTTACAGACTTCTGTCAAGAAGTTTGAGTTTGCCAACATCTCAAAAAAAGAATCCAAAATACACGTGTCACAGACAAGGAAACTCAAAATTTTTCCTTAACTATAATAACTGAGAAAATCAAGTTTCTAATCTTATTTGTCTTCTTCCAAAATTCCCTTTCTTCACTATTAACAATCTACTGCCTCTCTATAAGCAATAGGAGAAACGTATCCAAAACCCACCAGTTTAACGAAATCACTAAGATTTAAACAAGATGTTATGTTACAGTGCAACCTTAGAACACATCAGAAATATAAATGCTACATGAATCCTGCCAAACATATTTAATGGCACCACTAAACAAATCTTAAAAATTCTTTCAAAGTGGGGCTGGTGTGGTGGCTTAGCAACCTAATTCTCTCCTTGTAGTGCCGACACCAGTTTGTGTACCAGCTGCTCCACTTCTGATGCAGCTCTCCGCTTACAGCCTAGCAAAATGTAGTGTAGGATGACCTAAGGCCCAGGGCCCCTGCAAGTTGGGACACCCGGAAGAAATTCCTAGCGCCCAGCTTCAAATTGGCCCAGTTCTGGCCATCAGAACCATTTGGGGAGTGAACCAGCAGATGGAAGATGTGTGCACACATGCTCTGTCAGGGAAAAAAATATTTCAAAAATAAAAATGTTTAAAATAAAATTCACAGCCACCAGCTATTGTGCCTAGGCCTGCACAGCTGGGCCTGCCAGCTCTACCTTCTGTAATTGGGCAGCCACCATCTCAGTCAGCTCCTAGGGGGTTGAGAGTGCAGGACAGTGGGGGAGATTTGGGGCTGGCCCCAGTGGGGTGTGCAAGGACCTAGGGGCTCACGCCCAGGCATGCAGAGAGAACCTGGGGATTTTCCATGTCCATGGTCCCAGAAGAAGTGGGAAAGAGGAGGGCAAAGGCCTAGGTTAGCACGCTGGACTAGTGTGCTGCTGGACTGCGCTTGGGGAGCTTTGAATGGGCTTGGCTCTTGGACCTGTAAGGTCCCAAGCCAGCTCATGTGCCAGGAGCTTGAACTCTAGTGGGCCAGCAGTGCTCCAGGCCAGCACACCACTCCACCAGAAGGTTGGGCTTTGGAAGGCTGGGCTGTGGAATACATGTGCTCCACGACGCAGGGAATGTGAGTTCTTCAGGAAAAGGGTAAGGGGACGTGTGCAAGGGAGGACTGCTGAGGGAATATGTTGCAGGAATGAGTTCTGAGAGATTTCCTTCAACAAGGCCACTGTAGTTGCAGGTAAGCAAGAGGACCAAGACTGAGCAGTTTCAAGGGGGGAAGCTGGAGAACCTTTATGGGTCAGACCAATGCACCAGCCTATATGGGAGACCTGAACTGGGCTAGTAAGCATGGCTCACCAGTGACCACCACACTCCTGTCCATACTTAAGCTAAGGCTGGGGGTCTAGCTGACACCAGTTCACAGTTTCTACCAATGACAATCGTAACAGAGAATGGGCAAGACCACTGTTCCTGTCAGGACAAGTGGACTAAATCAGGCTGGGCCAAAGACCCACTAGTGTGTATGAGATCTGCCATTGGGAGATCTCATTGAGGAACCTGGGGAACTCCTTTGTCAGGACTCAGTCTCTGCTGCTAAGCCCAAGAACCCAGGCTGGGAGCAGCCCAGACCAGGCCAGGTTACAGTGCCCACCAGCATACAAGTGGATTAGGTCTGGGGGTGGGCCAGTCTGGGCCAGTTCACCCACTGGCAGATCTAAGAAGTAGGACGAGGTAGTACAGGACAGACCAGTTCAGGCCACAGCACCAGCCAGTTCACATTAGGGTCACAATTGGGGATTGGCTGGGCTAGGTTGGGTGGAACACAAGCTAGAAGGGGGCATACTGGGCTGGGTCAGGCTGCAGCACCTGCTGGCAAATGCCAAGATGAGATGGGCCATGTGAGGTTGGGTCGCAGCACCCACAAGTTTGGGGGGTGGGAAGTTGGGGTGGAGTGCAAACCCGATAAAGGAGATGTGAGGACTCCACTGTGGGCCACTGCTGCTGCTAGTGAGTTTAACAGCTGGGAATGGGGCAGACCAGACTGGGCAGGGGTACACCACCAGTTGGCCTGCATGTAAGCTGGGTTGGGGGAGAGCCACATTGCACTGACTGTATCCACTGGTGCAGGCATGAACCATAGTAAGAGCATAAACCAAAGCTGGTTGGGCTTTGCCACAGCATCAGATGGCAAATGCTGGGAATGGAGGCAAGTCCTATTGAGCTAGACTGCAGAACCACCTGCAGCGTGGAAGATCCAGGACAGGGAGTGAGTCTAGTAGGGAAACTGTGGGCACATCTCTGATGGGATGCAACTTCCACTAGTGAGCCTGAGAACCAGAACTAGGGGTGGGCCTATTTAGACAGGTGGTGGCACCCATTGGCATTCGGTGCGGGTTGGACGTGGGAATTGGTTGGGCTGAGATCGGCTTTAACACTCAACAATGTGTACAAGAACTGACAGACCGGACCACTGCACTGCACATGCCGGCAGGCACAGGAATCAGGGTTGGGGGCTGACCCAGTGGGGGTTATTGGGTCTCACTCTGACTAGCCCACAGCTCCTGCTGGTGTATGTGAGGGCCAAGTGTGTGGCAGCGAGGGTGGGGCTAGGCAACAGCACCCACTGACTTGTGTAAGACATGGGGCTGGAGAGAGATCCAATCTAGTAATTGTAACTACCAGTGATGTAGGTGACAGAATGAGTTGGGCTCTGTATTGGTGAGCACACACAAAAGCAAGGTCTGGGATCACCTCAAATGAGATTTGAGGGTCCCCCCAAATACAACGCTGTGAGAAATAATGCATCACATCCCACAGTTTCAATATAAATGACACAAACAGCTGCAGTGCTACTACAACAGCTTGCCTGCCATATATACTAAAGAGTCAATGTCCACGCACCTGCAGGGAGGTAAGACCATGGAGTCTTTCACAAGCACAGATCCAGAAAGCAGGATATACCAACATCTGGCAATCGTTTCTGAGCTGTTGAAGTAAACAAATACAGCAGTAAATAAACATATGTTAAATATGACACACAGGAAACATGCTAAAACTGCAAATCATTAAAACTAAGATACTACTTAGAAATATGAGATGTGTTGTGCAAGGTCTTAGAGAGACCTGCTACATAAACAGACAATTCTTTTTTTTTTTTTTCCCATATTGGAGGTTTAGTGTATCCACACAATTATAAGCAATATTCTGTTTCCAAATGTAAGACTGAACAAACACAGCCGGAGAAGGTAGTTCCCCTCAAAGATAATTATGCTGTAGATTCACAGTGACACATTCAGAAGTTCAATAGACTATAAAACCAGCACGGTGGAAAACAGACAATTCTTAACAAGTAACATAGAAGGAGAAAAAGAAATCAGTAGCAGACAAAAAAATACAAATCATAACCCTGAGATACTTTCAGAAAATTTTTTAAAATATATTTTTATTTTGAATTCAGAAAATTCTTAAAAAGTTAGTCTGCTACAGAGGTTGAGGGAAAATATTTTATTCAATGCTCAGTGATACTGTAAATCAAAATCAGTATCATTTTTCCAAAGCAATTAATACACAACATAAGACAAAGATGTCTTGTCTTTTTAACTTCAGTCTTCCTCAGGGAAATTATCATATAGAATAATTTTTGGGTCCGGCGCCGTGGCCGAGCGGTTAAAGTCCTCACCTTGAATGTGCCACACTCTCATATGGGCACTGGTTCTAATCCTGGCGGCCCCGCTTCACTTCCAGCTCCCTGCTTGTGGCTTGGGACGGCCCAGAGCCTTGGGACCCTGCACCCGTGTGGGAGATCCAGAAGATGATCTGGCTCCTGGCTTCGGATCGGCACAGCCCTGGCCATAGCAGTCACTTGGAGAGTGAAATCATTGGCTGGAAAATATTTCCCTCTGTCTCTCCTCCTCTCTGTATATATCTGACTTTGCAATAAAAATAAATAGATATTTAAAAAAAAATAATTCTTGCACCTGAACAGAATTTACTTTTTAAAAAAATGTACTATAGTTTTAAAAAATAATTTACTCTTTATTGCTTGTTTTCTAATTTTCCTTTAGTTAACTGCACAACAGAAATAAAAACTTCAAAAAAGCACAATATATACAATTCTGTTAAAAAAAAAAGGTCGAACACACATATAAGTTTAAGAGGCAAACAGTTATTTTCATGCAAATGTACAGTATACTATACAGTGGTAAAAAAGAACAAAAGCAAAACATCAAAACCTCTTATGCTGTAGTGGGTAAAGTCACTGCTTATAATACTGGCATTCCACACTGACACCAGTTCATGTCCCAGCTGCTCCACTTTGAATTCAACTCCCTACTCATGAGCCTGGGAAAGCAGACAAGCAGCTCAGGTACTTGCATTCCTACACCCACAACAGAGACTCAAGGGAGCTCCCAGCTCTGACCTTTGGCGTGACCCAGGCCTGATCATGTGGTCAGCTGGGGAGTAAAGCAGCAGATGGGATCTATCTCTCTCCCTCACTATGCCTCTCAAATAAACAAGTAAATCTTGAACAACACAGGCCTCGCTTCCCCGCGGCCTCTAGGTGGCCTCGGGAGACTTGGGAGCATGCAGACATAGTGGGTCCAAGGCTTGGGGGAGGGAGGCTGTCGGGACACCAGGCTGGCATGCTGCATGGTGTGCTGGTGGACTGAGCTTGGGGACTCATTAAAATGCTGGAATTTCAGCTGGGCAGAGGAGTAGTGTCCCAGGTTGTCATATATGCTGGAGGACTGGATCTGGAGTCTGGGGTGGGTGGGCAGGGCTTCAGGCGAGCATACCACCATGTTGGAAGACCAGGCTGGGAAATCCATATGCTTATGAAAGTGGAAGCTGTGGATCAATCAGGATAGAAGGTAAATGATGTGTGTGTGGGGTTAGGGTGGAACCACTAAGGGAGAACGTTATAGGTGATGAATGACTTCTGGGGGACTTTGTGCTGACGGGGCCACAAGGTAAACAAGGGGGCTGAAGCCAAGCAGTTTGGAGGGAGGCTAAAGGACCTTTCTGGGTCAGACTGATGTGCTCATATACATGGGAAATTAGAGATGGGCTAGCTAGCATCAACCACTGCCAACCACCATGACTCTTTGGCACACACAAAGATTAGGGCTGGGGGGGCCTACCTGGCACAGCTAGATCACAGAACCTGCCAGTGAGTGTTGGAACAGGGGATAGGTCATGTTAGCTTAGGCCATGACATTAACCAGCATATGTGGGGGCAGATTCCATGGGAGATTTGTGGACTCAGCCCTGTGGGACTGCCATACCAGTTTGTTTCCTCGAGAACTGAGATGATAGGTTGAGCTAGGCATGCTCATGGAACTTCCCAACACTCATTTGTACTGGGGTTGGGGGCAGGCTGGACTAATCCAGGCTACAGCACCATAGGCACACCTAAGAATAGGGTGTTGGGCAGGCAGGGCTGCAACATCCACCAGCACACACACAGGCAGACAGAGGGGACAGACTATGTCAGGTAAGGACCTAGCACCACTGGCACATTAAGATAACTTGGGGAACTCCCTGGTGGGCTCTAGTTCCTGCTTAAGAGCATTAGAGTCAGGCCTGGGTGTTGCTCGGGCAGCCAAGGCAGCTCCACTTGTCAGAAGTATGTGGGCTGGTTCTCAGAGGGATAAGGCAAGGACGGGCCAAACCTTAGTGCACTGGCAAATGCAGGAGCCAGGATGGAGTATGGTTAATGCTGGGCTAGGCTATCACAACTACCAGTTTGCATTAAAGCCAGCAATGGAGATAAATGGAGCAGGGTTAGGCTACAGCAGCAAGCAGCAAGAGTTGGAACTGGAGGTTGGCAGGACCAGGTCACACTGCAGCATCCGATGGTAAAGGCCAAGACCTGGGATGGGATATGCCGGGCTGGGTCAGAGCAACCACTGCCATGTGCAAGATGTGGAGCAGGCCTGACTGGCGAGCCAAGGGAATGCTCCAGCTGGCTTGTGGTTCCCACTTGTTAGTATGAGAGCCAGAATGGGGGCGGCAATCTGCACAAGACATGACTTCAGTATATCTTGGCATGGGTGTGGACCGAGTCTGGGGTGAGCCAGAATAGGCTAGACTGCAGCACCTGCTGATGCTTGCAAGAGTCAGGGTGGCTGTAGATCAGGCCAGGCTAGGTCTCGGCACCCACTGAACCACACGAGAACTGTGTCACAGCACAGATCAGGTGTGGCTGGACTGTAGCATCCAACAGTAAAGAACCAGACAGAATGGGTGTTGGGTTGATTGGGCAAGACCACTGTTCCAGCCAGGACAGGAGGTGGACTAAGCCAGGGCCAAGAACCCACTGCACACAACATCTCCTTTGTCAGGATCCAGTCTCTGCAGGTGAGCCCAAGAACCAAGACTGAGAGCAAATCAGGCCAGGTTACATACAGTACCTGCTGGCGTGTGTATGGGTCAGGTCTGGGGGCAGACCAAACTGGGCCAGTTTATAACACCCACTGGCAAATCTGAGAACCAGGATGGGGTAGAAGATCAGCCTGGCTGGGCTGCCACACCAGCTAGTTTACATTAGAGCTGTGACTAGGGGCAACCCAGGCTAGGCTACACTGCAGTACTGACAGCATGAGCTAGAACTGAGGGCAGGCAGGGCTGGGCTAGTCTGCACCTACGGTGAATGCTGAGGTGGGCCATGCCAGATGGGGCCACTGCACCCACCTTGATGAGTCACTGCTCCTGCTTGGTGAGCATTAGAACTAGGACCAGAGGTAGATCAGGCGAGGCAGGACTGCAGCACCTGCTGGCCTGCATGTGAGTTGGGTTAGGGGGAGAGCCAGGCTGGCAAAGTGACCATATCCATTAGCACATGGATAAGTCAAAGTGCAGACTGATTAGGCTTTGCCGCAGCATCAGCTGGCAAGTGCTGGGATTGGAGATAAATTCTGTCAAGCTAGACTGCTGAGTCACCTGGAAAGTACAAGATCTGGGGCTGGGAGTGGACCTAGTAGAGAAACTGTGGGCACCTTCCTGATGGGTTGCAGCTCCCACCAGTGAGCATGAGAACCAGGACTGGGGGTGGACCCGGCAGGATAGACGGCAGCACCCACCAGCATAAGTGTGGGCTGCATAGCGGGCTGTGTGCCGTCTACTTCACACACTGTTATGCACAGGAACCAGGTCTGGGGGCAAACCCAGTGGGGGTTATTGGAGGTAAATCCGACAGGGTTGTATTTACTGCTGCTGTACATGAGGGCAGCATGTGTGGTAGGCAGGGTTGGACTGGGCCCATCATTCACTGGATTGTGTAAGAGATGGGGCTGATCAACAACTGCAATCACCAATGTGTGTGTAGGCTGATGTGGGTCATGGATTGAGCCGGACCCCTGAACTGGCCAGCATACACAGGAATCAGGTCTGGCGTCACCCTAGATGAGGTTTCTCTGGGGACCCTCCCAATTGAATCACTGGACTCAGAACTTTCACTGCGGAGAAAATTACAGGATCTGTGGTCTCATCATGGAGTGCATGTGTCAGAACTGGAACTCCTCAGTTGCTGAATCTATGCAGCGGATGGGATATCCAGATGTACATGGAGGATTTGGCAGTCCATGGGGCTTGCAGAGGACATCTAGTACTACAGCAGAGGATGGAGGGCAGATAAAGTGGACAATTCTCCCAGTCAAGCACTGACAGCAAGTATCTGGACGAATGGAGACTCTAAGGTAGACTATGTCAGCCAATGGACCTTGCAAAGATTTCCTCACTCTTGGAGCAATGCAATCAACAGCATTTCAGAACTACTTCCCATCTAGCTCCCTGCCTGTGGCCTGGGAAAGCAGTAGAGGATGACCAAAAGCCTTGGACCCTGCACCTGTGTGGGAAACCCGGAAGAGGTTCCTGGCTCTGGCCATTGAGACCATTTGGGTAGTGAACCAGTGAATCAAAGACCTTTTTCTCCTTTTCTTCATAAATCTTTTAAGTAAAAATTTTTAAAACCTCCAACATAATACATAAATTCCATTGCACTGTATATCTCATCATTTATGAACATATTTCAATTTACACAAATTCTTTCAGAATTAAATGAGTCTGAATCTTGAAAGTAAAAATTTAAGATAAAATAATTTAAGCTAATTTTGGAAACACTTACCAAAAAAGAATCTGATTACCACTGTATCTCTCATAGCGTGCTCTTGCAGACATTAATCTAATACAGAAAAAAAAATTGAAAATTTTCACTCATACTATTTAAAAATTGTAATTTTACCAATGTTTCCTTTAATATACTGTTTAAAAATTGTAATATTCATTTATAATAATAAATGACCAACCTCTAAATTTTCTCTAAAATACAAGCATTTGAATTACATGTATTACTTTCAAAAACAGCATTCAAATAATATCAAGAAGCACTGACTATGAAACTCTTATATACATTACAAAAATCTATCAGGTCACAAAGAACGTGTTTATGTCTGGTTCGGTACTAAACCCTCAGTGTGAAGGTAAGCTATTAGTAGAAATGAAACACAAGAAAAATCTGGTACACAAATAAATTTTTTGCTTGCAACTAAAAAATGCTGTAAGACAAGCAGGGCAATCCATTTTAAAGAAAAGGAATGAGCTTCAGACACTATAGATCTTGTCCACTGAGCTTGTTCCAAATCAAGAGTGTTGCTCCCTCCAATGTAATACCATACTATTACATAACACGCCACACCTAACTTAAGCATTTGGCATGGTAAGCATCAACACAAACTACAATAAGGAAGTATCCGTTTTATTTTCACTAGCTAGCTCACGCTGAGCATAGTGCTTTGCCTTAGGTACAGACTTAATATTCCAAACATTGTAACAGGATACTAGCATTATCCTTGCTCTCATGGAAGATGAAAACTATACTTTAAGACTAGCTTAAGGTCACACGGCTAGGAAAAACTGGCTAAAGAAATTCCAATGCCAGAACGAGTGTCTGGCCTAGCATGAAGACATTTGGTTGGGAACAGCCACGGTCCCCAGCAGAGTGCACAGGCTGCTGGCTCCCACCTCCAGCCTCCTGCTCATGGACACCTGGGAGGCAACAGTGATATAGATTAAGTGGTTCAGTCCCTGCCACCCACATGGACACCAGGGTTGACCTGGTTCCTACTGGATCCCTGCCTCCATGTGGAAGTCTAGGATGGAGTGCCTGGTTCCTCACTGTTACAATCCTTTGAGGGATAAACCAGTGTTGAAGATCCCATCTCCTGCACCCAGTCTCTCTCTCTCCCCATGACTTTCAAATGAATAAATAAATAATTTAAAGTGAGCAATTGCATAGCACAGTCTCTTAAACATGGCACTACACTTACCTAAGCTGGTGTTCCCTGAGATTTGATAATATTTCCATTCCATGAAGATAAGAATAAATAGTATTTAAGTCCTGTGGAAGAGAAATGTTCTTAGATTATTTTTCAAAATACTTCAGATATCCCACAAATCTGATTTTTAAGGAAACAACGATTTATGACTGAACTCTCAACTATGAAGAGTAACAAAATCTGAATTATAAAAGATTTGAAAATGTAGACAAGAGTTCCCTCCACACAGAACGCCTCTTCACCATGATAAATGCCTCTACTTAGTGTCAGAAACCAAAAACTTATCACTTCATATCAAAGTATATGAAACACTGTGTATTCCATAGTAACCTCCAAATCCCTAAAAAAGTTTTACATCCTCATTAAAGTATTTTCTTTCCTCCAGATTATACAGTTTTCCAATAATTACAAATTTCAGCATCTTAAAAGTTCTGGCTATCATTTCAAGATGATTGATTTATTAATTCTCTTAAAATGAAACTTAAAGTGCTTTCTCAAGAGATTCAAAATCCACCACTGAAGAAAAAACAGGATGAATAGGACAGTGCTACTGTTCACTAAGGACACCGTTCTCTACTCCTCACTCCGGTAAACAGAAAGCGCTTATAAACTGATGCTATTTATGCTGATGCAGTCTGACGATAAAAAGTAGACACATTTAAATCCTCCACATAAAATGTACCAGTGTATTTCTTAATAATCCCCTTATTGCAGGGTGAACGTCTCCCAAACACAACCCTGCTGCCTTGATACACAACTAGACCACAAAACAACCAGATGATAATGACAAGACCATTTGTTCTCCAGCAGGGTAAGAGTTCTGGAGCAACAATCAGCAACAAGATTACCTACGATGGATTGAATCAAATCATCTATGCTAAAACTAAAATTACAGTGAAAAAGATTTTGAAGTATCCCAAAACAAGGACAAATAGATTAAAAGAGGAAACCACAGCAAATGAGAAAGATTCATAAAACTTCAGAAAACAGCAGAACAAGTAATGATGTGGTAAACTATATTTCCAAAATGGTCTCAAACATACATTTTATCCTATTTGTTCTTTAGTAATGGGATCTTGCCAGCCAATAACCAAGAAGTGGAAGTTATGCGTGTGCTCTCACATGCATCTGAGTTGGCCCCTATTTGTTCTGACAAATCAAATGTCATTAGTGATGATTTCTGAGACTCAGGATTCCTGACTCCATATTAAGGCTGTAAGGGAGCCCAGCTATCTTTTTTTTTTTTTTTTAAAGATTTATTTATCTCAAACAGAGAAAAAGGGGGCAGGTGGGAGGACAAGAGGAGCATCTTCCATCTGTAGGTTCATTCCCCAAATGACTGAGCTGATCTGAGCGAGGAACTGCTAGGTCTGCCATGCAGGTGCAGGGTCTCAAGGTTATGTGCTAGAATCAAGAGCCAGGACCTGCCTATGGGTCCTCTACGGGACAGCAAGCGCCCAAGCATTTAGACCATCTTCTATTTCCTTCCCAGATGCACAACAGGGAAAGTATGTATGCAGGGAAAGTAGAACAGCCAGGACCTAAACCAGTACTCACATGGAATGCTAGTGGCATACCCAAGAAACTTAACAAAATGCTGGCCTCTCAAATTAGCCTTAAAGAGAAAGGCCACGGGGCCAGCAGTGTTGCCTAGCGACTAAAGTCCTCGCCTTAAATGTGCCAGAATCCCATATGGTCGCCAGTTCTAATCCCGGCAGCTCCGCTTCCCTTCCAGCTCCTTGCTCGTGGCCTGGGAAAGAAGTTGAGGACAGCCCAAAGTCTTGGGACCCTGCACCCACATGGGAGACCTGGAAGAAGTTCCTGGATCCTGGCTTCAGATCAGTACACACCAGCTACTGTGGTCACTTGGGGAATGAATCATTGGACACAAGATCTCTGTCTCTCCTCTCTGTATATCTGACTTTCCAATAAAAATAAAATAAATCTTTTTTAAAAAGAGAGAAAGGCCACAAGCAATAGCATCAAGACGACAGTTAAGTGAGCAATGCCTTCTTAGTCCAGCCCACTAACCAACTGAGTGAAACTAAAGGAGTAAGATCCTACTTAAGGTTCTATCGGGCTTAGGAACCAAATAGACAAAATCAGCAGGAAAGAGATCAACCGAATCCTGGCTTAAGGCTGGCTCACACGAGGCTGACTAAGCTGTAGACATATCCAACGATGGCCAGTCATCATTTCCTGAGTCCGTAAGTACAACTTTAGGAGCTGGTTACTAGAATAACTTCCACAATAAGTCCATGATCTTTGTGTTAAGTGCTATCACAGAACAAAAACTTGCAAGTAGGGACCTTTAAAATTTCCCCATTTTCTATAACAAGACAGTAAATAAAAAATACTATTCCCTTCAGAAGAGTGAAGAAAAGCAACCACACAAACTGTGAGAGTCTGTATTATTTTCTGCTAAATTCACGCAAAGCCTGAGAAAGCAGGACCCTTAAAAGCGACTGCGTAGCCCACCATAGTTTGACCCCAGCTCAGCCGAGTCTCTGGCAGAACAGATGCTTACAGCTGAAGGAGAAGCCTCAGCCTGGCGAACACATTCAAACAGGGGTGACGTTAGCCTACAGATTTGCATTAGGACTATTTTAACTCTGATTCTGCATCACAACATGGCCTAGAAACATCTATACTTCCTGCTCTGCTATGCAGAAGACATCACGCTGACAGAAAGAACAAGAAGTAACATGATGTAGCTGGCAGCTTGGCGCCTCAACGAATCCACGTTTTAGAATCAGAGATCAACCCAAAGATGACAAAACCAACCACTTCAGTGAAGTTTTTAGGGACACAGGAAATTTCCTTCAAAATTTAAGAAAAACTGTTGGGAATTTGGATGTAGATCAAGATGAAATAAGGGACTGGATTTTTTCACCTAAAACAATTAAACACCAAAACAAAATACAATGAAACATTTTTCAACAGATAGGATATCACCAAAGGACAACGTGGTGATCCTTGTGGGCATCTGACCTTTCTGCCTGGTGGTAGCTGGGCTTGAGAAGGTGGCCCAAGGGAACAGAACTGAGAACAGAAGGGAGTCAGAATGCATGCAGCAGAAACAGACACAAACAGACAACACAGAAACAAGTGTTCAGACAATTACACAGAATCCGCTTGCATGTAAATTGAGTATGTAATAACTATCACACTCTGTGTAAAGTCAGATGAAGAGTAACCTGAAAAGATTAGGAAAGCCATTCCCACCCAGGACCGATTTTTGCCCATGGTGACTTTAGCAACATCTGAAGACATTTCAGGTTTTCACAATGAAGAGAGGGTGGGGCCAGCTTCGAAGCTAGAGGTATTGCTAAACATCCTCTTAGGCCAAGGACAGGGTCTTAGAAGAAAGGATTATCTGAACCATAATGGTCCACTGCGCTGAGGTTTAACACATTTGGAGCAGGAGTAATAACATTCCAAACTCACACAAGGACAGAGAGTTCTTGTTCTCACAGCCAGACTGCAAAATCTCTTATTTCGCCGAGCACATTTATACTCTGAAGCCTTTGGATTCAATACTGTGGCAAAACTGACATGAGACTAAATGCCACCTTGGTGCTGTACATCACAGTTCAAAAACAGGTCTAAAGTTGGTTTCCAGGGTGATAACTTGTGACCAATAATTACAGTTGCAAAATGTATGTATACTAGTTACCTAACTCTGCTCAAGAACAAAGTCCAAGAACATATACTGGAATATAAAACATCTAGACTATAAAAACAAAATTCACAGTCTGTGGTATCAAATACAAAACTACCACTTGGGGCTGCTGCTGTGGCACACTGGATAAAGTCACACCTGTGATGCTGGCATTCCATGTGGAAGCTTGCTGGAGTCCCCACTAACAGCCAGAGAAAAGCAGCAACAGATGGTTCAAGTGTTTGGGCCCCTGCCACCCATGTGGGAGATCCAAAAGAAACGCACAGCCCCCTGACTTTGGCTTGGTGCAGTCATGGCTGTTGAGGCCATCTCGGGAACGAACCAGCAGATGGAAGGCAGAGCTCTCTCTCAAACTCTTCCAAATAAGTCAGTCAGTCCTCCAAACACATACACACAGAGCAGGAAATAACAATCCACAATGAAGACAAAAATCAATCCAAACCGAACTGATTCAGTAAACAAACAATAAACCAGCAGAAAAACATCAGAAATAAAACTCTACTCCATAAATTTAAGAAAATACAAAGCCCACTAAGCTTAAAAGAGGCTTTTTAAAAAACTATCAAAGAATAAAATCTTAGATGAAAAATACATTGAATGAGATCACCAGCACAAAAGACATTGCAGAAGGAAAAAAAAATAGTAAATCTGAACACACAGGAATGGAAATTGTTTAAAAATACACACATACAGAAATGTGAACACAGCTACAGGCCAAGTACAAGCAGCTTAAGTGGTGTTGGAGTTTAGAGGAAGAATCTAAACAAGGTAGTCGAAAAATGCTACCAAGTCCCCGATAAAACTATGAACTCATGTAAGTAAAATAAATCTTACACCACTCACTACCTCATAATAAATTACCTTAAAAAACACGGTAAAGAGAAAATTGTAGAATTAGCCTTAAGAAGACAAATCAAGTAACAAGGAACAAAACAAATTTGTAATTACAGAAATTATAGCAGATTTCTCCCCAAAGCAGTACAATCTAGAAAACACTGGAAAAGTATAAAGTCTCAAAAGAAAAGAAAACAAAACAAAACAACAAACAAAAAAAAAAAAAACAACTTAATAAACCTACAATTCTCTTCTCAGTCAAAACCTTTCAGAAACTAAGAAAAGTACTTTTCAGACCAGCAAAAGCTTAACCAACTTATCACTAGCAGACCTGGTATTTAAAGAACAGACAATAGATACATTTTAGGATTAAACTTATGATTCAAGATGTGTCATTCCTACCACTACTAAAACAACAGAAGAGCAGATAAAGCTGTGGTGCAGCACGTTAAGCCACTGCCTGAAGACCTGGCTGCTCACCACTGATCCAGCTTCCTATGAATGCAGCTGGGAAGTCGTTGCATCCATGTGAAGACCTGGAAGAAGCTGCAAGCTTCTGGCTCAGCCTTGACACAGCCCCAGCCACTGTGGCCACTTGGAATGAATTAGTCAAGACAAGAAGATCAAGCTCCTCCACCCTCCAATTCTAGCTTTCAAAAATTTAAAAATAGTAAATACATCTTATCCAAAAAAAAAAAAAAAAAAAAAAAAAAGCCACCACTTGCCCAACCAGCATCCCTTATAAACACCGTTAAGCGTAGAGGCTGTTCCATTTTGGACACAGCTGTATGCTAACACACTTGGGGAATATGGCCCAAGTACTTGGGCCCTTGCTACTGTATGGAAGATCCAGAAGGAGTAATGGCTTCTGGCTTCAGCCGGACTCAGCCCCAGCCACTGCAGCCATTTAAGGAGTAAAGCAGGGATGAAAAAAAAATCTTTTCTTCTACACTGTCTTTCAAAGAAATAAATGCATCTAAAAAAAAAAAAACAAAAACAAAACAAAACCTGGAAACATTTCAAAAATTGTGCACCAAAAGTTTTTTTAATTCCCCCTTCCCCAAATTGTTTTGAAATATATTCTAACAGACATCTTATTTTTTATAATTTATTTACTGCTATTTTATTCAAAGATTTTACTGAAAAGGCAGATTTTACAGAGAGGGAGAGACACAGAGAAAGATCTTCCATTCACTGATCCACTCTCCAAGTGCCCACAATAGCTAGAGCTGAGCTGACCCAAAGCCAAGAGCTTCTTCCAGGTCTCCCATGCCAGTGCAGGTCCCTAAGGCATCAGGCCATCCTCTACTGCTTTCCCAAGGCATGAGCAGGGAGCTGGAAGGGAAGGAGAGCAGCCAGGACACAAACGGCACCCAAATGAGATCCCAGCACAGGCAATGCCAGGACTTTGGCCACTAGGCTACCATGCCAGGCTCTCCAAGTTCACTTTTCTAAGCGCTTACTGCTTCATGTGAAATCACCTGAGACTCAACAGTTCTGCACTCCATGCGCACTTTTCAATCCTTATCTTCCTTCACATTCTCTGCAGCATTTGAACACTGGCAGAATTATAAATTCACTCCCTCTTATTGAAAGTCTTGCCACTTCCAACCTCTTCTGTTACCTGGTGCCCTGGGTTCCTGTCCCAATACCCACTTAGCAATGGTGAC